TATATATATAAATCATCAAAGGTACATATATCATATTATATATATATAGGCCTATATATATAAATATATGTATAAATTTATTTATTTATTTTTTATTTCCTTCTGATTCAAATTTTTACATTAACAATGTTACATGTATTTCGGTCCTCCTCAAATCTAGTGCTGATCGGAAGTAACATGCAGATTTTAGAATATTATTTATATGCTTTCCGGCCGCAAGTGAGAGGGCCAACTTGACCGGGTTGTTTGAACTCGTTTGGCTTGGCCGAGCCGACTCCAGTGGATCGACCGTGGGCCAAAGTAGATATTGTGTCATATTCTGGCCGTCAGACTGGTAGCGGCTCAGCCCGTGAACCCTATTGAGGCTATGTCGAGCCGACTTTAGTGGATTGGCCACGGGCCATTATCTTTTTCAGTACACAGATGTAGCGCAACAGGGCGAGGGTTTGTAATCTCAGATAATCTTGTTATAGTGTTTTCTTACTGATTGCGAGAAAATTTTCTTAAAAACTGATTATTGTCCATTTGTCTGTTTTAAGCTATCGTGGTTAAGTTGACATTAATGTTATTATTATGGTTATCATTATCATACATATTAATAATCTTATAATTAGGCATATTATTATATCATTATTATATATTTGTAGATATCAATGAATGCGATCGCTCTACGGATAACTGTGCCTCCACTGCTGAATGCAGTAATACTATAGGATCCTACAATTGTACATGTAACGAAGGCTACGAGGGCAATGGCATTGATTGTACTGGTAGGTCTAATGTAAAATTATTCATAAGAAGAACAAATCAATTTATATCTAAATAAATCTATATCTAATTGTATGATTGTTAGTATAGACGAATGCGTATAGTTTTAGTTGCAACGTTCATGGCTCTCAGCTCTTAAAGTTAATATTTACTGTATATACCATTACATAATAAAGGTTAGTATCTTAATTTGTTGTTAATAACAAACCTTTTTATCAATTACAGATATTAATGAATGTTTCACTCGTGCAAACCCATGCAGTCTCACTGCTGACTGCTTTAACACCGACGGCTCTGTATATTGTGTTTGTAAAAATGGATACTCTGGCAATGGAATTGTTTGTGATGGTAAGTATATATATCATATATATCCAAATACGTATATACACGTAAATGAAATAGCATAAGCCATTTTGTAATCACAGCTGTGCATGATGAAGGTCAAGTTAAACATAAATACACATTTTCTCTGATTTTTCTTTAGATATAGATGAATGCCGCCAAGAAACGAGTGACTGTGATAAAAATGCTGACTGTACAAACACTGTTGGTTCCTATATGTGTACCTGTAAAGACGGCTTTGAGGGTAACAGTACACACTGCTTTGACATCAATGAGTGCATTGAGAGAGCTCTTGACTGTCATCCGAAATCCAATTGCACCAACAGCATTGGTAGTTACACATGCGCCTGTCCGACAGGTTACCGCGGTGATGGTACCGAATGCTTTGGTAAGTTGCAGAATACGAATTGATATTGATTGTAATGTATTTTGTAATTGACTAATTGAGGTAATGGTTAACTTGTTCCCGACATGATAACATCACATGATTGCAACTTTATGGAAATATAGTGCTCCACTATGTGTGATATCATAATATATATATATATATGTCTGTGTATATATGTATATGTGGTAGTAACTTATAGCGCCAGATGATGCCAGGTCACCAACAGCATGGGTGTTTTTTATTCTGCTTAATGCAGTTTAGTGAATAAATCTTACATTGGTTTAAAATTAATTTTTGTCTGCTTTTAATTCTGTACTGTTTTTCCAGATTCGCTGTCGAGAAAGCTTTACACTTTACTTAATTGACCTATTTAGTAGACATCATATAAATATAAATAATGTACGATACAACACTTTTAGTATAGACATCAAGCAACATTTCTCACAAATAATTCTAATTAAGAAGACTCTCCTACTTAATAAGGCGCGTCTACAAATTATCCCCAACGACAGAAACGGGTCAAAACACGTTTGCTATTGCTATATGACAAGCTCTCCAAACGCGTAGGCCTGTCAACGTGTATAGGTATGTGACAGTTCTCCTGCTGTCTCTTATACACATCTAGATGTGTATAAGCTCAAGGTCATAAGGACTGAGCCTCGCTGTCACAATGTAACAAATTCAAAGTTGTTGAAACTGTTGATTCAATTAGGGCATGTTCAGTGTAGAGCTAGCTAAATTTCGCTGTGTCATTATTATATTTTTTATACCAAGAGCGCACTCTATTTATTTGATGTTCGTCAGTCCATCGTTTCGGTGGAATTTCTGATGGTCAGTTTCAGTTGATTCTTTCATTACTATCTATTACACTGTATTTGCTCTCATTTTAGACGTGGATGAATGCAATTCTGGTAATGGAACAAATATATGCGCAGTATCAGCAACGTGTACAGACACTCAGGGAAGTTACATGTGCGGATGCAATGAAGGGTTTATTGGAAATGGTGTCCAGTGCGTCGGTAGGTTATTCCACATTAAATTGAAAATACATTACTGTACATTATTTATTTTTTCCTTGACATCGCTAAAGAATAATTTTTTTCTTTTTTCGGATCTTAATTATTTTTTTTTTCCATACAAATGAGATATGCTATAATAATATCTACACAAGAAGATTGTAGCCTGGTTCTCACGAGAGCCCTAGTATCCGGATCGGGAGCTAACCGTTAGCACTAACCGTTAGCACCTGCGTGAGAACGCCCGATCGGTTAGCGGTATCCGGATACGCTAACGGTTAACAAGCGCTATCGGTTAGCAAGTTGAGAGCGTTTCTATCATCAACCAATCACGTACGCGTTTACAATTTCCAGTTTCTTATTGGCCAGTGGTTTCGATCATCATATTGTTGGTATCCGGATCGGGATTTTCTCGCATGGACGCACGGAAGCTAACGGTTAGCAGGATCCGGATCCTGATAACCGTTAGCTGCCGTGTGAGAACATAGCCACTATAAAGGATGTAAGCAAAATTGGAGCAGGATAGTTCCCTTCACTATTCTCTTGGTATTCCCTCTCTTGCCATTTGCATCTGGACTCACAGACTCTTTCTCTCCATGTACCAAGTAAAAATAAATATACACATCATTTTTATTATACTAATGTATTTCATGTAAAATATTGAAGGCATTATAATTGTCATTCACACTTGATATTGCCGTATGTTAGTAAAATTTATAATAAAAAGTGAACAATGTAAGGCATGAGGAAAATTTCGGGATCAATTACCTTGGGTGGTGGTAAAATTCCAGAGGAAAATAGCACAGGGGTGAAAGAGAAAGGGAGAAATACCAGAGGAAAATACCCCGCGAGCAAATAGGTGTGGCGGTTTGAAGTGGAATATCTCTTAAAGTAAAATATGTTGGATGATGCCACTATTTTTTGTAAAAAAAATGACTACCAATAGACTTATCACTACCAGCGTATATTGTATGCAAACACAGGCTGCATGACATGCGATTGTCTGTGAAATTGTATCTATTGTATAATAGCAGAATCGGGTAGGACAGTAAAACTTAATTATTTACTCATTAATTATTGTCAATATGTAGATATTGATGAGTGCACTATTGGAACTGATGGATGTCAGCAGGATTGCCTCAACAATATTGGCTCATACACCTGCGCATGCGCAGCTTCCTTTTCACTTTCTGATGACCAACATTCTTGTACACGTGAGTTACAATTATTATTTTTTTACACGAACTATGTATAAAATCCAGTCTGCTTACGGACAACAGCATTTTCAAATTCATTGTTGTTTTGTATACTACAGCATTGGCAGGAATGGAATGTACTGGTTCAAACCCATGTGATTCGTCGGCTAATTGTATCCATAATGCTGATGGTAATCCAAGTTGCTACTGTGACAGTGGTTATCAACTGAGTAATAACGACACCGCCTGTGAAGGTAATGTCTCGTCTTTGAATAGCCTGGGTTCCAGGCCCTAAATTTGGGTTACCTGTACCATGGAGGAATCCTCCATGCCTGTACTTACTTTTGATTGCGCTTAGTGAACGCAATACCAAATTTAAATGGCGTCCCATACTCGATTGATTCTTTTCGGATTACGACCATAGAGCTATTATAACGACTCAACCTTATATCAGGGGCGGATTTAGGGGGGGGGCCGGCCCGGCCCGGCCCCCCCTTTTGGGAGGTAAAAAAAAGGAAAAAAAAGAAAAAAAGAGAGAAAAAGAAAAAAATGATAGCCCAGAATGCCTCAAATGTTATGTTCGGGCGTCTAGAACACAAAAAT